GTGAATGTTTACAATAACTCTGTCACTCGGACCATAAATATACTTCAGCTGTTATAATTACCTACTCTTAAAAAGAAACACATCAACGACCACACCAAATACTGACCATTCTCTGCCTAACTCGTCGAACTACACGTACATCACATACCCATCGAATAAAAAAATGATGAAAAACAAAATTAAACCCACCCATACAGTGAAATTAAAATAGGAAATTTATATTAGGTAAGAAAACACTTTTTTAGATATGCATTCTGTCACTAATCTAATTTACGACTTATGTAAAACCATTATTTTTAATTATTTTTAGCTTTTAACCTTGAAAAAGTCCGAAAACTCGGACGAAACGTAGGACAAATTGTTCATATACTTGGCTGGAAGTCCTCTAGTAATAAAAATAGGAAATAAGTTTTTCTGTTTTTTATTGAAGAAATAGTTACACTTTTATCAACTTGCTTCTTGCCATCATACTAGTGGGTTTGGCTATGACACAAGTATATCACAGTGTATACCAGATAAATTTTGTGATACTAAACCTTCTTCTTTCATTCATAACTACTTACATTACATTGGCAATGAAGTTATATTAGTTATTAGTTGAAAGCCAGTTGTGTCCCTTCTTAACACAAAAACGTTGACTAATACCATCATAAATATTTTCTTTATCAGGGGGAGTGTAAAATTAAATATAGAATTCCATTGTTATGAACTCGTGACACCACCGGAAGAATAGCATTAAGAAAACTTAGAGAACATGACAGAAACTCACGCTAATCGGGATTCCTAGTGGGTTAGTGCACGCACTAGAAGCTTTCAAATCTGCTGTCTACAAAACAGGCGAGTGGCAGCGAAGTGATAAATAATCATTAAATTGTATTCTCTCTGGTGTGGTTATTAGTATACGGCCATTCTGAAAATAAACACGTTCGGAGATATATGTTATGGTAATCAGTAAATTTGTTTCTAGTTTCTCTTGCAGCTGAGCGTTGCCATTGTTTATCCCTTATTATTGAGTTATGTTTGCTAGAATACTTTAAAATGGTGCTGGAGTAATTTGAAATTACTTCCAGTTTGCTTTTCAGTTGGGAATCGTTCGATTAATCTAATAAATGCATACAAATGTATGTGTTAAAACCTCCTATATAGAGTTTGTGTCTTTATACGATTGTTTACAAGTACTGTTTTAACAGTACTTCTAATAGTATAAATTATTATTAGGAGGTATGTTTAATATAATAATTCTTTACATTAATATTTTCTGAATGTTATAATAATTAGTCTAAGACTGAATGCCTATGAAATACGGTTACCAGTACAATAAAACTTTGGGGCTGTATTTTTACGTCTGAGGATTAGCAGAGGATGTTTTAAAACTTATTAACCAAGAAAATACTAATAAAGTATTTCCATAGTGTTTTGAAACAAAATATGTTGCCAATGTCAAAGTTCATATAATATTAATTTTGTTCAATTCTTCTTTTAGCACTGGTAACCAAGTTAAACTAAAACCTTGAGAATTTCTCTTCCTGCCGAGCTCGGTGGTGCAGTGGGCCAGAGGGTAAAATGACAAGCGTAGCTAGTTTACTGCCTATCGACTCCCGGGTTCAAATCCCGGTTTCGATTCTGACAATCGAAGGGTTTGGTTGTGTGTCCACGTTTTCTTCAATTGTGTAATCCCCGTCCGTGCAGTCCGTCTTTGGTTTGGGGGTTGTCTAGTTTATGTGGTATGTTTTTTTTTATTTAGTAATACTACCGAATGAAGAGAAATATTCCCTGCTTCTTGCAACACAAACTGAAAGTCTTCAGTCGATTTTGATTATTCTGAAAGAAATCCTAAGGAAAATGCTTCATAAGATGAAGTTTCGCCCTTGCACAAATTGCTTGGTACTTACATCAAACAGCCTGTCATGTAATCAATTGGCCTGTCAAAACGCCCAACCTGACAACGCCTAATTTTTATCTATGGGATTTACTTAAAAACTGATTGTATAAACTGATCTCTGAATATAGTCGAGTTTAAAAAACAAATTAAACCACTACAGGTAATATAACCCCCTGCATCCCTGAAGGTACCTCAATGTACCTGTGTGAGAGAAGGCTACACATTTAGAGACTATGGACATACACCCAATATCCCAGTATGCGAAAATTAATTTCTGGTTTAGAAAAAATCCTAGCTCCTCAACCGGGAATCAAACCCGGGATCCCAGAGTGAGAGGCAAGTGTCCTCACTACTCGACCACGAAGCCACATTAAATAATAAATAAAAATATTAACAACTCACAAAGTTCTACGATTAATGAAACGAAAAATTAATAAATTTATTCAAAATATTTCGGTAACAAAAAAATACTGAATAAACTGTTTATAGCATATTACAATCAATATATTAATTTATGAAATATTCTACATATCCCGCTTCTTCTTTTACACATAAAGCGAAACGTTTTTTGACTTCATTTGTTGTCACTTTTTGGAGAATGTTCGACATCATTTGAAGGCGACTCATATTAATGGTACACCAAAGAAAGTAATACAGTGGAGTAAGGTCAAGGGATCTTGGTGGCCACTAAACACACGCATCTATCTACCTTAAAAATGCGCATTAAGGTCTTCCTCAACAAATCTTGAATTATAGGCAGGTGCTCCATCGTATTGAAATCATAATTGCTTTATTCTAAGCTGTATTGTCTCTAGCAGAATAGATGTCATTTTGAAAAAATTCAAAATGCTGTTAAGGAATGGTTAAAGAAATATGCTCCTACTAGATGCTGGCCAATCATTCCACATCACACATTTATTCCAAAGTGTCCCTGATTTTGTATTGGATTTATAATATGAGATTTTAATAACGTGTATTTCTATGATTGGGAAATCCATTCAACCGTCCACAGGATAAGATTGAAAAAATTTGGACCGTGGTTTAGTATTACTAAAACTTGAGCCACAAAATCTTCTCTCCTTTGGAGATTAGCAGGAAACAACCTCTGTAAGTCGTAAATTTTGTAATCATGAAATTTTGTATCCTACAAAATTATTTGTATTGAGCCATATGAGAGGTGTGTTGATCATTCGCTTTTCTGATGGAAGCAGCGGGATTGTGTTGAAACAAATTTATTTATTACCTCTGAAATATGCCATCAGCGGTGCAAACAAATTTCCTGTACAGCTATGTTTTCGTTTCTTGAGTGCATATTCATTATTTTGAAAGTATCTAAGGTTTTAAATGTTTTGCGATCTGGAAGTTTACAATCAGAATATTTTTCATGATATGTCCATTTGGCAAATGTTTCGTTCTTCTTGCTTCTCCATGTATTAAATTTATGTCGATTTCGTGATTGTGATTCAACATTTTATTATTTTATAACTTTTTCAAACTAATAGGGACTACCCGTAGTTTTGACAAACAACCTAAACTTTCATAGTTATGGTTAATTATGTTTTGATATCAGGGCCATCTTACTATTTGTATTAAAACCAATTAGAAAGACGTATAAAATCAAGATGCAGTAAAAACCCGTAAGTGTTATAGCTCATAAACTATTAGAAATACATCTAAAGTGATGGGCGTAAATATTACTCAAAATAGAAATATTTTTCGCCAGAGAAAAAATTGGGTGTTGACGGGGAAAAGAATCAAAAATTGCGTCGCGACACCTAGCGTTTGCGCAACAAAAATTTACACGTTAACGCGTGTAGTCTATATAAGTTACTTTTGATCGCCGTTAACAATTTGTGCATATGCTCTACAATTTACGAAAAATTAGGCGTGGGAATCGATTTCGATTCACCCTACAACGTATTAATTTTTATGCAAAAAGGGAATTTCAAATTACGTAAATACCATTGCACGAAGAATCGATAAGCTCAAAGCTTTTCATGACATTATATCCTTTTCCAATGGTTGCAGAATTTTAGAAGGAAAATTATAGACGCTACAAGGAAACGGATGTGAAAGTATAATGCTGAGAGAGAGGTTTTATAAAGAATGATTTTAGAAAAACTGACGGTTTGTAGTTTAGTTTATTTCTAAAAGGGAATTTATTTATTTACGTATTATTGCAAATTCATATTTTTGTCAATGTATATATTTTATTAGTATGTATAAGTGGTGAAAATATTTCCTTTATTACAAGTTTTTCACAGACTGCAGAAACTTTTCTAGGGCTATATCAAAATTATTGCGGTCTGGGGTATATACCCTGTGAGCCTAATTAAGTTTGAACTCAATTACATTATTAATAACCTATCCTTTACCGTTATCTATGAATTTGTATATATATATATATATATATATATATATATATATATATATATATATATATATATTTATATATATATATATATATATATATATATATATATATATATATATATATATATATATATATATATATATATGCATATAACAGGCAAAATAGTAAGACATAAAGAAATTAATTATTAAAATTAACACTAAAATATTCTGTTATGAAATAGAAACTAGATCTTATTAATAAGTCTTACAGAGGCTCTAAATTCATTTAGTTTTTCTAAGGAAGCTTATTAAAAAAGTTTTATTATATTGTTATTCACTCTGAGACTATAACGAGCACTCCCTTCGCGGTCCTTAATGAAGTTTTCAGGATTTGATTTTACAAAAACCAGCGAATTAAATATATACAATGAGGGAACAATTAATATGTTTAATTTTTAAATAGTTCTCTACAAGGAGCATGCTTTTGTTTGAACAACATCGTACGAATAATTTTTTCTGAATTATTAATAATCAGCAACTCTTGTGTAATTCCCTCAACGTATAATACCGTAGTAAATACTTGAGTGCACGTATGCAAAATAAAATGATTTTAAAACGTCCAAGTTAACTCTGTTTGTCAGCCATGACACAAAACAATGTGTCGTTAATTTATTTAGTAAAAAGTTTATTTGATAGTTCCAGGTTAAATGTGAGTTAAGATATAGCCCCAAGAACTTAACAGAGTTCTTTTTGCAGAATGCTCTTGCCATCAATTTTTACTAGAGCACTTTGGTTAATTTCTCTGGTAGAAAAAATCATAAATTCAGTTTTATCAGTTTTCGTATTGTTTAGGGTTAAGCCATTGTTGGTACAAAAAGTGACCATATTATTTACAGCAGAGTTTGCATATAAACTGAGCTGATTTATATCTTGTGAATAAATTGCACTTGATGTGTCATCAGCAAATAAAGATACACATGAATTTTCGAAGTAATCAGCAATATTATTTATAAATATTATAAAGAGTAATGGCCTCAGTAAGGGGTTCATAATGTACATATGTAACACACTTATAAAAATAAAAACAAGTTTTTACATCTTTCCTTCAAATCTACACATAAAATAAATTGTTTAACCCTAATAATTCACACCACTTATGTAAGAAAATATATCTAATAACACACATATAAATAACACCTCTTCATAGTTAACATAAACAAACCACACACACCACAAGCCAGAAAAGTTTCAGTCACATATAAACATTCATCTGCAATAGCTATAAAATGTAAAATTATACCAAACAATATCAAAATAATCCGTATTGTAAGTGCATAACATAACATAGCATCACCTTATAATTTTTGTGTAATTAATTGTAATTTTCTGACGATGGTTGTAATAAACCGAAATGTAAGAAAGTAAATATTGTTCTTATTTATTTAAATGTCCGAAAGTCTAGGATATTTCTATATCATTCCTATTATCAACAAGAACAAAACATTTTTTCTTTATAGAAATTACCACAGCAATAAGTATGTACATCGATCGCGTTAAAACCAGAAATAATTTATTTTGAATTTTACATAGCTTGTTTACTGCCTGTCAAATCCCGGTTTCAACTTTAACAAAGTCGAAGGGATTGGTTGTGTGTCCCAAAGTTTTTTCAACTGTGTAACCTCCGTCCGTGCAGCTCCGGCTTTGGTTTGGAGGTTGTCTAATTTATGTGGTGTGTTTTATGTTTTATGTTTTTATGCACGTTTAATTGTGGCTTTATGAAACTTGTTTGATTAGCTCAGAACTCGGCTCATCATCGCCTTATTCTGGCAATCAAACTCGTTTTATTAAAGGTGTGTCGTTGATAACTATAATTTGCGTACATTTGAGTTTATTGAATATTAGTAACAATCCTGATAAATTTTATTAGGTAGACGTTAGTTTTGTTTATGAACTTTTTTTTGATAAATAATCATTTTAAAAAATAAAGTTAAAAATTCTTATTATCAAAAAGAGAACCAAAATATTCTAGGAATGCAAATTTGAAAACAAAATAAGTTCTGTATATTACCTAAAGGGGAAAGTGCACCGCTTAAAAAAATGCCAATATGTTGTGTTGTAATATTTCTAATTTTTTTTTAAATGTGTTTTATTACAATGTTTTTTTTATATTTTGTATTCATTATTGTGAAATTTTTTGGAGCATTCTAATTTTGCAATGGTGACGTAAGCAATCTTTGGGAAAAACAACAATTTTTCAACTACGCTGTTGTTATTTAAATTTTTGGTAAAAAAAACTTAATTTGAAATTGTCATAGTTACAACATATCCATGAATAATCACAAGAACTCGTATGAAATATTAAAACTTTATAATTTAGTTTACTAGAAAGTCTAATTTAGAAATATATGCGTTTAATTTCGCCAACTAGGTATAATAATTTCTCAACGTTTAAAGTATATTCCATGGTATTATGAATCAACCGTTTCTTTGTTTTTTCTGATCCTTTATATAATATTTATAATCTTTTCTATTTTGGAAGTATATTCATATATGATTAAGTTTGAACTTCTATAGATTAGATCATCATAAATTGACAACGTAATATTTTAATTGAAAACTGAAAAACTAGTCAGCAAAAACACGAAAGAAATGAATGAAATAGATTCAATAAAGAACTGAAGGGTAATTGAATGCTGTAGAACCGAATAAAAAAAGTGACAGTGACAAATTGTCACAGGATAGCAGCAAGAATTCTAGGATTGGAAGTTATGACAAATGTTCTATTTCTAGTTTATGGTAATAGGTATGGACTATTTTCCATAGCAAATATTTATTTACTGAAACAAGTAATATATTGACATTTGAACCGAAAGGAATTATTATAATTAAACCACAACCCACCCCCGAATATAAATTTGAATACATTTTTACTTTTATAATGTGAATAATTTCCAGTGTATCGGAAACTGTAGTAGTTATTTTAATAAAACAATCGGCAAGCTAGATTTTTTA